ATTCACAATTTCAAAGTTCACAGATTTTGCCAAGGGTTTTGTGTCTTTTTGCGTTCAGCTTTCTTTAATTCAGTAAGGATAGATGTTTTTGGAAACAATTTTTGTGTGTGATGGATGGAGAGGAAAGTTGGAAGATACCAGTTTGATCGAAAGACAACATTCAAGTCCCTAATCTAATCTCCTTGAGCGAAGACTACATCTGCTACTAAATTTGCCCAAGGCTTTGTTCAAGACACATCTACATTAGCCAACAAATAGGTACAGTAGGAAATTTTAGTGGAAATTACAAAAACCAATCCTCAGAAATTCTTTGGCACACCAAATAGTTTAGAAATGACAAATTCAGTCAAAAACTATGACACATTCTTTTTAATACCTTAGAATTTTGACAAATTTTGACAAAGATTGCTTCATTTCCCAATCTTCCTTGTAGTAAAGAATAACAAAAGCCAGATTGATGAGTAGTGCTGAGTTTATTCAATCTTTCTGCAGAGGGGAGAAAAACTATAGGTTTTGAAAGAAACACAAAAAAATCACTGACACCAGAGGGAAAAGACCATTTTGAGGATTTGTGTTGAAGAAAAATGGCCATGGTCTCTAGAAACCAAATGGGTATTTCGTTTGCAATTTCCAATTTCCAACCCAACCCAACTGTAAGCTGCATTCATACTGGTTTTTTGGCTCATGTGCAGCAGCCGAATTTCCCTGGGAATATTTCACTTTCTAGGCACTGGTGATTCCTGCTATGAATCGATTGGAAACCGAGTTATGAAATTCTGCCATGTGGCGATATCGCCAGCTGTGCTGGTTGTTCATTCTCAAGGAAATTACACAATCATAAATCATAGCGTCCAAAAACAAAACCACAAAAAATTAAGGGTTGCGCAGGGGTGATCGGGAAGTTCAGCCGCAGGTCAGGATATCCTCAAACCGTCAGCAATTTGTGGCGTGTTTCGAGTGCGGGTGGGAGATTACGCACGTACGCCTGGGTCCAGGCCCCTTTCAGGACGTTATATATCTCGGATGAGCTGACAGGCGTTTCCTGAGCGTGTTTGGACTGCAGGGGAAAAGCAAAAGTGAAATGAGTGGATTGTTCCTGGAGTTGTTATGCCGATTACATCACATGTGCCCGCTTGGCGTACGTGATCGGTGTGTCACCTACATGTAGCTGTGCAATGGGGAAGCGGTCAGTATCAAATGCCATGGTCCCGCAACATCCCAGGTACTGGTACCTACGGTACATGCAGTGCAGAAACCACCTTCCATTTTTGTGTGTGTCTGTGAACAATGACAGGCTATAGGTCGGCTAAAGAACAAATAAAAGATTTTCTCGTCCCCTGGTTTTTGTTTGTTTTCCTTTTAGTTTCCATTTTAAAAGTCCTTGTTTGGGTTAACATTATAAAATACTTGGACAGTACATGTATGTAGCTAGATACTGTAATTTCAAGTCCAATTATGACGGCAGTTTCTTCAGACATAAATCTATCAGTTAAAGACTAAAAGAGTCACAAAATTCATCCTCCATCTTGAAAAAATCCGCAACCTTAAAAAAAGGGTCTGCTTCCTCCCCGTAAAAAAACCCCAAAAAACAGAAACATGGAGAGGAATTGTTTTACTTGGCAGCAATCATGTACGCACTGTACATGTACCATGTACATGTACATCCACATGGTTTTTTTTTCAGTGCATTGTATAATTTGTAGTAACATGCCTTTACATTGAATTTGTCATTTACGCGTACAGAACTGTCAGCGCTGTGCAGCAGCAGTAGTAAACCTAGTGGAGCAGAGATTTACTTGGTTCAGGTTGTGTAATTCAGCACAGTCAGTCATGCACAAGCGTGCTGGTCACGGGGCTGGCTGTGTTTATTCGTAGTTGCTTTGTACTTTTTCATGAATTCAAATCCCCCCATGAAAGAATCTGAAAGAACTTGGAATAAAATCACACAAAGTATTGTAGAGTTGGTGACAGACGTGCCCACAGTATTCACTGGCAGAGCACTTTTCCGAATCCTGTTTAATTCTTTTTTAAAATTTGGAGCAGACAGAGTTCGGGAGTAGGCCATTTTTTTTCTTCAACTGGTTTAACGTCAGCAATCTCTTCATTTTGTAAAGTTCTGTGTGTGTTTTTTTCCTTTCACATTTCCCAAGTGTGAAAGACAAGTTTTCACATTCAGCATGTAGAGTGTACATGTACAGTACGTATATGTATAGAAAAATGGTATCAAATTAACTATAAGGACTTTGATTTTCAAGCAGAGGTTGCGTTCCAAAGTACATGTACATTGTAGTTGATGTGTCCAGTGTCTGTGCATTGAAACTGTTACCCCTGTCACTGCAACACTGGCCCAGCCAGGCGTATGTAAACCGATACCAATACATGTGCCGTAAATGTGTAATAGCAATGTTTTGCTGTACCTTGTCCAAATTTATACTGGGAGCAGGCTTACGTTCTTGTGAAACAGAGATTTTCTTTGTCGGCAGTGCTTGAACGATCAGTGTGTTTGCCGACAGCCGCATTTTGTTGGGGGGGGGTCAGTTGCCTAAAACCAACAGAGGGGGCTTTCTACCCAACTGGGAATTATTCATGGCACATTAAAAGTCCCACAGAGCCTGTTTGACTAAGGGCTACAGTGTAGGTCTACTTTGGGGTGTCATAATGTGGTAAAAAAAAAAAAAAACGTGTTGCAGATAATGGCTTACTGATAATTGTAACCATGGTAGGCTGGACACCCTGTCATGCCTGTGATAAAAGAAAAAAAAATTTCTAAACCAACTTGCACTGTTGCAAAGAGCGTTGTCTGGTTTGTTTCTCCACCTGTGTACACAAGGTCTAAAAATAAACTTAGGAATAACTTAATCTTTGTTTTATCTGAAGTTTCTAATATTGTGGTAATGTATTATAAAGGTCATTTCATTAAGATACATGTACATGTATATGTACGGCTTATTTTCCTCTTGTGCTTTTGGCTAAATCAGCAATCTTCCAGAACTGCTGGAATTTTCCAGACTGTTGTTGATTTGTTTATTGTTTTGAGCCTTGGGCACCTCCCACACTGGTCGCACCACAGGAGGCCCAGGCTGGAAACGTTTATTATTGTATTTACTTTATCTCTTCTGGGTATTCCGTTGAAGCTTCCGACAGTCCGGCAGTCCATGGTTGATAAGAGGACTGTGGGCCATCAGGTTGTGTCCAGACTGGTTGTACATGTACATGTGTACATAGGGAATAGTTCTGCAGTCGACTTAAGCCATAAAGCACCCCTCCCCACCAAAATGAAATCATGCTGTTGACCCCTTTTTGTGGTCTGCTCTGTGGTCAATCGGTGATGTCATACATGTGTAAGGTGTATTGACCAACTTCCAAATGTGGCAGAACCACTTATTATATGTACATGAATTGAAATTTTCCCTTAGTCTTCCTATTTCCATGTGATTTTACATACGTCCCGGGGGGTTACGGTTTGAGCTAAAGAAAATGTACTGAATGAAAGAGACTTTGGCAAACACATCAAAGTATAATTTGAATCCATATCTTATACGTCCATGAAACAATATTATATGAGATGTAGTCTGGGTGGGATGGAAGGAAGGGTGGGGTTGGAGCTGTGTCAGGGTGTGGGGTTAGGTGTGGAGTAGGGTTTTAGGGCCCATGATTTTGCCAGAAATGTGAAGAGGAATATTGAAAGTGGACGGCTGTACATGTGAATACAAGGAACGTCCTGGTGAAGATTTTTGAGGATCCAGGCAGGTTCTCCTCCTCAAAAAAAAGAAAGCAATTTAAAGCGAGCATACACTGTATGTGTGGGCTGAACAAAACAACCGGCATTTAGAAAGCTGGAAAGTGCTATAGAGCATGTGGAGCAAGATATCAGATGGAGAGAAACCCCCCCCCTTGCTTTGTGTTGGTCATCATGTCACTGGAATCTGAGGAATTCTTTTCAGATATCTAGGGGGGATGTGTTAGGTAACTAATAGTCTTGGACATGTTTGGGGGGGTTACCCCTCGGTCTCATTTCTTACTTGATATACTATAGAGTGACAAATTAAAAGCCCTCATAAAAAAAACCACATGCAATTATCATTGGAGTTAGAGGTGGTCTTTGTCACAATACTCCCAGTAAGTTGCTTTTGGTTCGCTGTTGAATGGATGAGTCAGGAACTGGGATTGCATTGGGACATGATAAACCCTTCTGCAAGCATGCCAAGTCCCTCACTGCCACTCCCTGACAATGCTAATGGACGCTGGATACCTTCCACAAACAGACGGTGCCATCCAAAGTTCTGCTGTCAGAGAATTCATTTTCTGCAAGGGCAGTTTGCTACATTAATTTTTTGTGAGCGTTTAGCATCCGCTAAGTTTTATTTGTGAGTTGTGATCCACCGTGCTTAAACCATGATGAAGAGTGATAAATTATTACCTACCAAAATACCAAATACAGACACAAACCATGCAAATTTCACAATTTACACTGCCTGTAATTACCAAAGTTTTCTGCGGACAAAGTTTCTACCTTAAATCACTTTGAAGTCGAAAAATGTACAGTTGAAGAGGGGAATTGCCAAACTATGTACCTTCTTGGTGGTGGGTCACTCACATTCAGTGCAACTTTGTGCACATCCAAAGAAGTCATCCAGTTTTTGTATGCCAGTTGTAAACAAGAACATGATGTATTTCATCAACTGTGATCTTCCATTCAGTAATTTTAGATATCCATTTCGTGCGTTGTTTTCCAGTACCAAACATTTATGTGTTTGTAAAGAGATGAGTTGTCATATATTAATTCTTTTCAGACAAATTTATTACATTTGGAAATGCAATTAAATAGATTTTTTTCATATATTCCACCCGGGCCACTATAAAACCTTAAGTTATACATTGACCACAAATTAGAAAAAAATGCATCATGCCTAGGAGTGTGAAACAGAATTCACTGTCATGAATTCCAAACACTTTGGCTTAGCTACAAGTTTGGATTTGGATAGTAAAGCATAGGTATCCCTTCGTTTATGCCAAAAACTTTCTGTGGTACATCTTTCCTTATGTGGAGGAAATTAAAAGGCATAAGAAATCATATCATAGAATTACAATGTAGTACTGAAGCTTTTAGCTTTTGTTCAGACAATTTTGACACAACCTAACAAAATGAGTCGCAAGTTGCCAGAGCTTTTATTTGGTTAAAGGCATTTAGAATAAACTTGTGTACTATAAATTAGTACAGTGTACATGTAGGAAGCCTCTAAAATTTTCAGGCCCATTGTGTCCATCATCATCAGGATGCCAAACTGGGTAATACATCAAAACCAAAATTAAGCTCCTGAAGTACACGTACATGTACAGTGTGTTCGTTCTAATACAAATTAAAACCAAATTGTATGGACTGACAACATGGCCTTGTGACTCATTTTGTGGGATCGGATCACAATTGTGCCTTCAAAAGGAGATACGGGTTGATATCCTGTGATTCAGTTCTCAGTTTGTGGGACCAAGTTACATTGTTATGGCTGCCTTGCGTTTCCATTGCCATCAGCGTTTTGTTTTCACCACATTGGCTTTTATGATGGTAACAACTGCAAATTCAGTGCAGACCGAGTCTTGTTTGTGTTTCTTACAGGCCATGATCCAGGCAGACATTTTGCTCTGGACAATATGGACCTGCCGCTGAAGTGTCGTATCTGCGGTGACAAGGCGTCGGGCTTCCATTATGGCGTCCACTCCTGTGAAGGTTGTAAGGTAACTACTAACAGCAAATGACATATTAATGATACCACCATGGTTTTGTGGCTATAAAAATTAGACTGGCACCCTGACCTTATTGGAATGAAAATTGGCTATGGCCTCTCAGCTACTTCGATATCATTGGTCGTGCCCCGAGAAATTCTTTTTTTCTTTTGATCTAATTGGGTGGACTCACATGTGCACAGAAATGTACAAATTACAGTACCCACTTGGGCATGTACGAATACATGCATTTGACTATTACGGATATCATTTTGACCCCTTGTGAGGTCATCGAGAAAAGCTGTACACACATGTAGTAAGGTGCTGGCCACTCACTCAACTCGTGGTTGAGTTGGACTCCAGTGATACACAGCTTTCTTACTTACAAAGAAGACAGCCTTAGTCGGTGATGGAGCATCGGTGTAAACCGCAAAGACGTTGAGTGGCACAGTCTGATTCGGGGCATTTTTCGTTTTGGATGGTCAGGGTTTCTTCCGTCGCACTCACCGCATGAAGCTGCAGTACAAGCCCTGTCCGTACTCCAAGGCGAGGCCCTGCAAAATCAGCTTGTCCACCCGCAACAAGTGCCAGTACTGTCGATTCCAGAAGTGCATTGCCGTTGGCATGTCACACGATGGTAAGGCGACAGTTGTCTAATTTCCTCCATACGTGCTTCGGTGAAAAACCCTTTGTAGTGGTTGATGTCAGTAACAACTGTTGGTAATTCAGACTGCCTATTACACCCAATATTGTCCTCCCTGTCACGCATTTTGTGGGTCCAAAAAATCTGATAGAAGGCGTACAGATTTGAAAGATTAAAAAAATATTTTGGTTTCATTTCAATACGAAGGGAAATGTAAATTAATTTTGTATGACATCTGAAGATTCTGATTAAACTGTATCTGCTTCCACGCAAGAGAAGTCCTGTTAACACGTACCGGGGGTACCATTTTTCATTTTATAACATGACTCTTTGTAATTTTTGGATTTTTATGTGCTTTCTTCTCCTTAAAGATATTTTTTACCTCATTTAAGGAATGGTTACTCTTTGAACAGTCTGTGGTTCTGTGGCCCTAGGGTTTGAATCCAACCGCTGGCTTTTTTTTTCCTCGGCAAGGAAACATAAATTGGTAATGGCATCAGCTGAAGGAGGTGTGCGTGGACTTGAATCCCGTCCATCGGGAACTGAAGTATTTTTAGTTGTGTCATGCCAAGGCAAGTGATTCTGCGTACATGTACAGAACAGAAAACAGTGAAGGGGGCCAGTAAAGTTATTGTCATGCTAGGCGTGTTTCTCTGATGGTTTTTACCTGTACCATTTTGCTATGCCTTGAGCATTCAACTGTCAACTGCATGAACCGTCCTTTGTGTGTATTGGTGTGGAGGCTCCAAGTGAATTGAGACCAGAGAGTGATTGCAGGTTAGAAATTCCCCCCCCCCAAAAATGATTCCTACTTCATGTCAAAGTAGGTAGCTTTTGTTCTTTCCATTTTTGAATGCAAAAGGAAATCACAAATTTGTAGAACATAAAGTGCTCCACTGTTTTATTCTCACAACAGCCTGCATGCCTGTTCACAAATGTCAAACATCATCGGGAAATAAGCACATTAACCATGGGGAAAACCCTGCTGACTGGACTGGTCCCCTTTACTGTGTTTGCACCAGACATGTACAAGTGCTCCTGTTTTTTTTAACTGCCCTGCGCAGCCTCCAGGTTTGGCCGCATGCCACGTGAAGAGCGGCTGCGACTCCTTGAGGAGCTGAACCAGGAGGAGCATGAGGCCAGCGAGGAGGACAAGAGGCGGGCGGAGCTGCGGGCGCTGACCGAGAGGATCCACCAGGCCTACAAGGACATCTGGGCGTTGAGCTTCCACCCGACGCTGGAGGCCAGGACCAACAAGCTCATGGAGGAACGACTCGGCATCATCGAGGTGACCCAAAAAAATACGGCGAATGCTTCGTGCGGGAAAAAAATGACAGCCCCAGTTTACTTGGTGATAACTTGATGGCTCCTTTGCAGCCACTGTTGAGGACACTGCTTAGCTTACTGTCACATTGCATTCATGTATTCTCATCTCGTTAGTCTTGTAAAAAAAGTGAAATCAATTCTGTGACAGGTGGAAAGAATGTTACAGTACTTTAACTTGTGAAGTGACTTGTGACTTGCATCTACGATTTCTTTTTTCAAGGAGGCAAATGTGAACATCGACTCCAGGCCCATGCGGGAGCTGACAGATATCAACGACATTGCCGCCTTCCTGCGTAACGCCCTGCAGACGGCCATCGAGAGCCTGGCCCAGTTTGCCAAGCGGCTGCCCGAGTTCCGCTCACTGGACATTAACGACCAAGTCTCGCTGCTCAAGCATGCCGGCTTCGAGATTGCCATGATCGCTACGGCCTCCCGCTACATGGCCGACGGGCTCTGGTTCCCCTCGGGCGGTGTCTACTTCAAGAAGCGACTCCTGGAGGGGCTGGACACCATGTTCTTTGAGGACAAGTTCCGGTTCTTCGAGAAGATGAAGAAGCTGAACCTGACGGAGAAGGAGCTGGCATTGTTCTGCGTGCTGGCTTTGGCGGCACCAGGTAAGCCAAAACTCAAACTGAGGGGGGATTTCCTCCGTTGAAAGCTTTGAAAACCATCCTGCAGTACATCTCAGACCTTCTCAAACTATAGACAATCTAAAATCAGAACCGATGGATTGAACATTCTCCTGACAATGGACAGACCATACTCTCTGGAAAGCTGAAACCACAAGTTCTTATCAGAATCTCGCTTTCTTGCAAAAGAGTTTCCTATGATGCTACCACAAACCTCCGCCTCAGTGCTACATCCACCATGCAAACCTTCCAATCATATTGTTAACCTCGGCATTGTCCCTTGAGGCTCAGACCATTTCTCACAGGTTCTGGCTAATCCTGAATCTACCGGGACATGCAACAGCCCTGAGTTGGTAGATTATGGCTGTCTATGAGTCTGTGATTGGCATGGACACATCAACACGTTTTACATGCAGACAAAAATTGGAGTCTTCTTTGGCTGGTCAGAATAGACAGGTCTAGACGTGGTTCGTTGCCCAAGACAAATGCAAAATCTCATAGGAACCTGATCTTTGAGAAACACCAAGTGTTGACCAAGCTACCCATCTGTAAAGTTCCACATGTACAGCGGATCCATTCGATCTAAAATTTCCTTTGACTTTTCTGACATCACAACTAGTCGGGTGTAGTTAAATCCATCACAAGGCCTTTTGCAATCCAGTCATGAATCATTCAACCAGAGCAGTCATAACCGATGGGTGAAACGACAAAGGAATGCTTTCGTCGCACCACACTCAAGTAGCCTGTGACTTGCCTGCCTCTTGACTGAATGGTTTGTGACGGACATGTGCTGGACTTGCACAGACGTGGGATGCACTTGACTACATTAAACATATTCAGTACACACTAGAATGACTAATGAATGACCAACTACGGCATACCTATGCGTACTATCAGTGATAAACGTGTGCAAGGTGCGCCTTCACCGCCATACGTATCACGTAACGTGCCCCAGGGTTATGTTCACTGATACAAAAAAATTCTGTGTGAATTAAATGCATTTTTTGCCCCCTTTTCCCCTCAGACCGTGATGACCTGACCCAGCGCGAGCAAGTGGAGAAGTTCCAGGAGGTCATCCTGGAGGCCCTGGAGTGGGAGGTGCAGCAGAATCACCACGGCAACCCACTGGTGCTGCCCCGCCTCCTGTCCCGGCTGGTCGACCTGCGGCAGCTCAAGCTGGAGCACGTCCAGCAGATCCAGCAGCTGATGTTGCTGGACGACCCCCGCTACAACGGGCCCACCCCGCTCATGATGGAGGTCTACGGGTTATGATAGCCTCCGTACCAGGAGGTCTGCTGGTCATGGTAGCCTCTATACCAGGACATGTACGGGTTATGATAGCCTCCGTACCAGGAGGTCTGCTGGTCATGGTAGCCTCTATACCAGGACATCTACGGGTTATGATAACCTCTGAACCATGTTTACACCGTGCGCATTGCACATTACATTTTGTACATGCATATCTATTAGGGTCCTTTTTTTCCCCTCCAACTTCGGGCTGATGTGGGGCAATCCTGTACAGCTGTTTGTTAGAATTTATTCCAGGGAATCAGGTTAGGAGTGATTCAAAACCCAGGAATCGGAATCATCATTTCTCCTCTGTGACTCATTTTTCTAAGGCTGGATCACAAAAGGTTTAATGTCAGGTTACCCTACGGAGTATTTCCATTTGGTTCTCACAGCAAAGCTTTGAAAGCGATTGTGAAATTGGAGATGAAGCAAGGGATTGATATGAAACTGAAACAGGGTCCAGCTGTTTTCCCTTCCCCTTCATTGCAATTTGGTTTCATTTTTGAAGCCCACAGGATTTAACTTTCGTTTTATTGACCCTGACCCACCGACCCTTCAAAGTCCACTGCAGAGCTGTAACCCTGTCCATCACAAATCGGCCGCCAGTCAGATCGCAAATTTGCAAGTGTCAAAGTGGTGCAGAGAAACGCCTTTGTCACACTGACTTTGCTTGTGACTTCCATGTAACCTGGGAGTTGTGACTTTCAATCGATTTGTGATTGACTTATGACGGCTTGCAGTGACTTGTGATAGTTTGTGATGGTTTGTGATAATCTGTGATGGCTGAATTACAACTCTGATGCAACATATCCATAGCCATTTACAATCCAATACGACTGGTGTGGAAAACTTTGGTGATTGGTTTGTGATTATTCACTGGGTAGCCCATGCAAGGGGGGCGGAGCAACAACACTTTGTAGGCGTACAACAAAGTTGATTTGTACTTAGTGATTGATATTAAGTTGCAAAGACCAATAGTTTGGTTGAATAAATTTGATAAGCCGACCAGTACTGACTACCAGCTGAAAAGGCATATTGTGTGGAAGTTTAACTAGTCACCAATCAGTGTGCTAAACCAAAGATAACGGCTTAGCATTCATGCTTAGCTGATCATTACCAATTTTTTTATATGCGCCAGTTTTAATGTTCAAGGCATTTTTATTACGACAGCTTTGTTATTACATTGAGAAGAATATTGTTCAGTCTTCAGACTCCTATTCACTTTTATGCCACATATTTGCTGACTTTCACATTTTTTTGTTAGTTCGCAGGGTGTTATTTAATATTTATTGATAGGTGCTGAAGACAGGATATGAACAAGGTCTTCACATTATGTTGCAAGAAGGTCCGCACATGTGGAAGGTTAGAACGTGCATGTATGTAATAGACCTCTCTCAAATGACGTCACTTCCTCCAGATTACCACACACATTGGCATTCAGACTTCAAGTTTTCGTGACGCACATCAGTTGTGTTGAGTTTTGAAGATATATGGACTTACAGAACATCTGCACGCTGCACGCACATGCACCCGTTGGTGTTGTATACAGAGTTTTCGTTTTCCTACAAAGATGATGTCCGAGAGAGGATTTATTTTGCGATTTTGACATTTTGGAATGAAGTCAAGTGGCATATCCCGTAATGACCAAATGCCCCAACTCAGGAAAACAACTCTAGTACTTGAAGAAACATCTGTGACTCTGTGAATCAAAAGAGTGGTGGAAAATTACTTTCTCATTTGTATTATTCCAAAGCTGGAAGAAAGGATTAGGTGGTTTTGTTACGGCCCAATTGTAGTACTGGTCCCGACTACTGTTGGATAATCCCAACTGAAATGCTGATGTTGGACAAGCCAATCAACACTTCATTTGGGATCCCCCCAACCACAGTTGGGATCCACTGCCGTAGTTGGGGCAAAATGCCATCCTTCAGGTAAACCGTTGTGTACGTTTACATCAGGTTTCTTTGTTACAAGACGTGGTAAGAATGACGTCAAACAAATTCTGCGTGTGAGACCAAAGTGTGTATTTTAGAATGATTTTTTCCCCAATTTTTTATTACAAAACTGAACTTTTTAATCACAGTTTATATTTACAGCATTTATTGTATATTTCATTTACTTTATGTAGATACAAGAGAAGTTGCAACAAAAACATATTTTTCTATAAATGTAGCCTCTTCCAGTGAAGAAAGTCTTTAATCGTGCCTTGTGAATAAAGTTTGACAACATTATCGTAAGGTAATAAAGTCAATTAGTCACATGTCACTTTTTAAGGTAATACTGAGTTAATATATGCGGTAAATAAAATAAGGCATAAACTTTCAAGTAACATGCAAGCATGTTGTCTAAACTTTCAGCTCAAAATATTAACAGTAAGATACACAACTTGGCATCGGACACAACAGTTAATGCAGTAAGAAACGAAGTGGCAGATTAAACTGATTTTTCTCTTTCAGAATCTATCAGATGACAATTACAACATGGCATTATTGGCAATGCTCAATGTATACATCCGTGGTAGACCTCAGTTTTTTTTTGACATGAAACTTGGAGATGTTTTGTAACCAAAGCTAATATAGGGGAAAAAAATTATCTTAAATATTTACAACTCATGATGTTAATGATTTTCTTAGGCTGTAGAAAAAAGTGTATTTAGCTCAGATTTGACTAGTCTGCATTCCAGCTGTATCAGAATTTCAGCTGAATCTTTTGCCAAACAGACATGTGGGAATTTTGTTACTCTTTCAACTGGTTCCAATGCAGCTGGATATCTGTCTTGCAGTTTTAGACTTCTACATACGGTGCTGTGAACAAGACAACTTTGTGCTGATTATGGGCCATAGGAATTTTTTTTCCAACTTGAGTCTATGTTTAAGTGGGTATTCGAGAAGTTACTTCATGATGTTTCTTTTGAGCAGTTTTAGTTCTTTACCAGAGTTCCAAAGACAGCAAAGTTCCAAAGATGGTGATGATGAACCGTTTTCAAACAGAAGGACTATAAATTTGATGTTATTTTGTTGGTGTTACGCAAATAATATACAAAATATTTTATATATTGGCAATAAATTACAGTAATTTTTATAAGCTGAAGGGGACATTTGATTTTTGTTTTCAGTTCAAGATCATAAGTGATCTCATTTTCTCATTTTTTGGTGTGATTTCAACAATCAACTGACAGAGATACAGCACAAAAGGTGCTTTTGGTAGAAAAACTTAGCGATCATAGCCGGAGCACGCAGTGTGGCAAGGTTTATATCTCATTAAAAAAAGCCTGACAGAAATTTCATAACTCTCAGGGTTTGAAAGACCCACTGGACTGGTGGATGGAGGGTGGTCTTTTTCATCGTTGGTCTTTTTCAACCACACCAGCTCAAGCCCAGCTGTCGAGTGGTGTTCAAACATCTCGTGAGCTTAAGATCTGATTTGCCCAACCAAAGAAATTGTCCACTTAATGCGGGGAGGGCCCATTCACATGTACAAGTGTGTGTAGTACCATTGATTACATAACTATCCAGACAGCACAGTGTGCTCATGTTCAACACTTGGTTCATTATGTTCACAAGCACTTCTACTGTTTCCTGTCTGCTAACACTTGCTCCACTCCAGCCGATGTCGTGAGGAATCGGCCTCGCAGACCAGTCACAAATTTGACCTCTGAACTCCTGTACCACTATCTGTGATTATTAATTTACTTACTGTGCATGTTTATCTGTATGACTCATTTCACTACATGTACGTCTCAGTACCGCCTGGATATGCATCAGTCTGGTTAGACTTGTGCCAGTCCTTCGGCTGCGGCGAGGCTGAACAGGAAGTTTTCCGTGGCAGGCGGCATTTTGCGTTCCCTCAGAGCCTCGATGCTTACTTTCCCTGTCCCGTCTGGGCCGGAGTCGCTGAGGGACTTGAGGTTGTTGATCAATTCCATCGTCTTATTGGAAATATCCTGAAGAAAATGGGAAAAAAAGTTACCTAAGTGTTTCAACTTGTGCATGTAAATGTGAAGTAATGACCAGTCTGCTCTTTGAGTGTAGAGAAGTAACTGCTGTAAAGTGTCTTGCTTAGCGACACAAACTTACAATTTCCACTATTTGTTTGAAACTGTTATGCTATTACTGCAGTAATGCCCCGAGTGTTTCTTGATGCTAGGGCTTCATCCCGGGTTGCAGCCATGCAACTTCTGGGAAGAGACACTGAACCAGCAAAGACATGGGCACGAATTTCGAAAGCTCCATGTTTACCCTCTAAGAACAACTGCCAAAGACAATGGACTCTCTAGTAAAATGCCAACCACCAGTTATGTTAAGCAGCACAAAGCAAGGCCATGTCAACGTAATCAACTGGCTATGGCTCGGGAGTAACATGCACACCTATGGGAAATGGCTGTGGCTACCCCAGGAATGTGTGTAATAATTTCAGCCCCAGCTATAACTTGTGGACGTGACCTAGATTTTGGTCCACAAGAGGAATGGCGTCATGTGTGCAGGATGAAGTCATCTCACACAGTGATGCTGCAAATTTGTACACATTCTGTTGAAAAGCCATTATGGCTGCCGCACAGATGCACAGACAGGGTCTTGCACAGAGTGCCAACGATGGTTCAGTCTAAGTCGATCAGAGTTTCCTTCCAGGGATAGGAAAACTCACCACGATGGTTTGCTTGTTGCTGACTGTTTCGTCTTGGGCACTGCTGATCATGACCTGCGCGATGTCTTTGTGCAGCTTCCCCATGGTGAAATGCTCTACAGAAAATGGAGGACGCCATTTAAATAGTGTATTCATTTGGGAAGCTCTTGGTGAAATGGCGTAAAACTGAATCACCCCTTGATCTTCATTTCATGTTACATTTGTAGTGCAACTGCAGCATCTTTGATCCTCGCTCCCTTTAGTATTCTGGAGAGGAATTTTATTTGCCCCCAACCCCCAAACAACCACCACCGTGCTGAAAACAACGGCAAGTTCTTCTTCCAAAGTAACAGCAGTGGGACTCCAACATTCTACAATCTTGCAGAACCCTTCAAAACCTTAGTGGATTTGAAAGGTTAAACGGAGTGCTAGGGTTAAACGCAAGTATGACCACTGATGCACCTTTGGCATTGGGAGCGATGGCGATTTCAGCTGCTGGCATGTTGACAAAGAGATCAAACAGGTCCATCCGGCTCTCGACGGCCTCGTTGGTGAAGCCAGCGACGTAGGACGAGGTGGCTTTTAGTTCCTGGATTTCGTCGTCTGACTCCAGATCCACGTAGGGGAAGAGGAGGGACCAGTTCTGCCGGTGCCATACCAGGCACGGTAAAGCCCTGTGTGGACAAGCGGTAAAAAAATGCTGTAGGATCAAATTGTCTATTTGCCCTCCTGATCTTGACTGTATTTTATTTTGAAAGCAGAGGTCCTGACAGTCACAAGCAGATTACCTGACGAAATGCAACAGGTCTTCGACCTTGGGGTGGTAGACGGCTATGCGCTTCTTCAGCAGTAGCGCCGTATAGATCAGAATGGACTCCATGCCAAACATGTTTATAACATCTAAAGATAAAGATCAACATGTTATTCCAACAAATGGCATCAACTTGTATGATTGAAAAAGAACAAGCAAACTGACCAAGTTTTAATCACATTTCTTTCCTTAGAATTGGATCGATTTCTGAGCAGGGTTCTCACTTTGACATCTGTAGCTTGGTGATCCCTTTTAGACTTCCTGCCAAAATATTGTGGACAGGATTATGGTAACTGAAGACAACAGGAATAATTTCCCATGCATTAAAGGTTGTACGCAGTATATATACTCAAAGCCTGAGGCAGAGACAAAACTGAGCATTGGAAATTTCTCCCACATATGACTGTGCTTTACGGACTACCTTTCACTGAGGCTGCCGCAAAGGCCTTCCTCATGTCGAAGTCCTGCACCTTGAACATGCCGTTGTCCTCGCTCCGGCAACTGCCTTTGGTGACCACCGACAGGTAGTGTTCCAGCATGGAGGCGGGGTTCCCTGACGCCAGGTAGGCATGGCAGAGGATCTTGCTTAGCAGGCTGTACTTCTCCGGGTTGAAGTCCCTCGTCAGCAGCACGAGTGAGAAACTTTTTACCTGCAGAAGTTGGACGTAACGTGACAACCCCAAGATCTCATTTAAAGCTCTTACATTTGTTGCCGTTTGAGGCTGCTGAATAGCGCTGACAGAAAGTCTGAAGTACATGTTCATCCTGGATTCCATTGATAATAACATTGGTGGAAGACTTGCTTACAGTACGAACATGTGGTGGGACTACATTTTAATGCAATCTGTGTAAGAAAAGTGGATGCTGTATTTTAGCAAAGTTATGAGGGACACGTGAGAGCACGCTTTAGCACAGTTACATTAGTCAACACCCCCACCTCTGGTCTTGAGTGAATTGTGTGCAGTGTGCGAACTTAATTTTCGATTGAATGTGTACAAATGACTACAGTGCTCAGGTGACAAGAATGCACTAGGAGTGTGAGGGCACAGTGCAGTGGGTAATGCACTGAAGTGCCCTCACTTGGCAGTGACGATTTGCACTTTCAGAGCGGGAAAATGCCAATTGCAACAAATCTGGGTACCTTAGGAAGGGCTGGGGCATCGTTCACTTCTTCTGTGCGTATGTAGAACCACTGCCGCCGATGTTGTCCGTACACATAGGACACCACGGTGTTGTTACTGGGGCTTAGACATCCTTTCCTCTGGATAAGCTCTCGCTGTTTGGCCGTAACCACTGGATACGACCACACCCACAAGACGTCAGAGTTGACATCCTTCTCTATGATCACATTACAAATTTTTCATTGATAAATCACCTTGTATTGTTGTAACAACAGACAATAATAATGTGACAAAAATAATTTGGTCAAGCTCCTTCATGTCCTCTCTAACTCATTAATAATAAACTTTCAACATGTGTCATGGTCACAATGGTCCGTATTCTATTGTCAATGACCAGACATGACCAGACGACATAGGGAACATCCATGGAAGAAGCCCCTTTTTTAATATCTTAACATTGCCATGCTACGACTTGCTTGCAATGCAATGCATCATGACGGTTGTCTAAATAACTGGGTGACACGGTACTACACCCGTCGCGCCTTGGATAATTTCAAACTGTTAAACTGTAAGTGTTGGGGGGTCTACATGTTAAAACATGTACATGTAGAACAGGGCCACGTACGTAGGCCTAGTGAGTAAAGTTTATGAAGCCCAGGCCATGGCCATGCATGACTACCATTTGTAATTCGCAAGTTGTAGGGCCTATTAGGCTGATTATTAATATGAATCCAGTTTTATTGAAACATCTGCACGATAAAAATACATGTATGCAAAAGAAAAAAATGAAAAATTTGACAAATGTGACAAAAACTTGATTTTTAAAACCTATCAAGCCCGCCGCCAACAAGTCTATGAGCGCCGCCATCTTGATTTCTTTTAGTCTCGTTCATTGTACAAAACTAATCATAACTTATAAAAAATTCGAATCGCTAACATCTAAGTCTTTGTACAACACAGATATTCTTAGCTTTATGAGTGTCAATACATGAATACAAAATCTTAGACATTAGTAGGTTTATCAAAAACTGAGAAATTAAATTTAAATGACTGAAAATATGACGTCACATTTCCCACATGCGAAATTTGTCGCGCCATATTGGCAAACTTTGTGGGATGACTCCCCACAGACAATGATAAAAAACCCTCAATAATTGCTGAATTCATTCGGAGCTTTGCACTGCAGATTTTGCCAGATTGAAAAGCAACAATGCCTACTTATTTCCAGCGCCCGGAAAATGCCCTGAAAAGGGCAAATGGTAAGTAAAACGGGTGAAATGAAACCAGCTGTGGGTTCAGCATGCAGTGCCGCTAGAGCTACTGCTCAGTGCGTGGGCCTGTGGCTGCCCAACGTGCAATCTCATGGGTTTCGAGTCAACTCGGACCCAAACCAACTCGGACCCATGCCAACTCGGACCCACAACCAACTCGGACCCATGNACAACTCGGACCCAATACTAACCTGGACCCACAACCAGCTCGGACCCAATACTAACTCGGACCTACGACCAATTCGGACCCACCCTGAGTCAACTCGGACCCAACCCCAGGAGCGTGATTAACTTGTTGAAAATTTCGATTTGTCCACTTTTACATTTTAGCATTTGGTAAATGACACTTTTGCACTACATGCTGCCAAGATGTAACGTCCTCTCTACACTTAATGCTTCCCAGAATTTCTCAGTTTTTGAGTTTGAACAGGCATGGTGGTTGAAAACCGTACAGGACTAGATTTGATATTAGTGATGTCTTGGAACAAGTGAGAAGTAACTGGCGAGCGTCGTATTTTTATGTGGCACATTTCTTTTGATGTCTTATTTGCCGCTTGTAGTCTTGAATCTTAATCGGTTATTAGCTTCCGAGGTACCAGCGTGATTGACCACAAAGACTGATTTTGTCACCTTCCATTCTTGAAACCCTATGATCGGGGAGTGGGAGCTTGGGGCAACCAATGGGAGCAGCTTTTGGAGGGTGATTGACAGTACCAAATCATTGACGCCCTTTCTCCACATCACCATAAGAAATCGAATTAACTTTCACCAAACAGCCCCCAAAGTTTTTGTTGCAATAAAAAGCCACAGATAGGCCTTCTGATGTACATAAGAGATGCTGCATGCGTACAACACATACTGCAGATATACATCAATATCACGAACTCTGACCTTTTATAGTGTCTCATGGTGTTATCCCCCACCTCACTTTTCAAATTTTTTTGGCCTGGCAAGTTTTACACCTCCACCTTGCCCCATCCGCCCCCCCCCAAATACCGGCAAAATTAAGGCAGATGGAGGAATTCATCCATACAGGCTTAGACTATCTGTCCAAATAACGTAAATAGGTTGGTAATTTCCAAAAACACAAATCAAATCATTTTAAAATAAAAATGTGGAATATTTCCTATTGTCTTAAACTTGGAGATGGTTTTGAAGCGTCGTATGTCTGCTGTATTATTTTGTGATCCCACTTTTTTTTTTTATAATAAGACGTGCCATAATCACAAGGGATCATAGAATTATTCATATAAATCCAGAACTTGGGATTGATAGTTTCCAGTTCAGAGTATTTCTTTCACAAAAAGGCCCACATTGCGGGCCTATTTTGGATAGAGACGGGCAACTACATTCATATCTTGAATTTCTAGCAAAAATAAAATTATCTTGAATTTCCAGTGAAAAAAATGAAGGCCAACCTCTTCACTAGGTTCATGAGTCAGCGCTATTTGGGTCAACGGGCGCGTATTTGGTGTAGTGTAACCACAAGACTCCGTGGGTCCGAGTTGACTCGAGGTGGGTCCGAGTTGGCGTGGGTCCAAGTTGGTCCTGGATCCGAGTTGGCATTGGTCCGAGTTGACTCGAGGTGGGTCCGAGTTGGCGTGGGTCCGAGTTGGTTGTGGGTCCAAGATGGTAGTGGGTCCAAGTTAGTATTGGGTCCGAGTTGGCGTGGGTCCGAGTTGGTCCTGGGTCGGAGTTGGCATGGGTCCGAGTTGACCTGATCCCATGTCATGATATAGGCCTAAGCAGTATAGCATAGAATTTTTGTAAAAGCAGCATTGGGGGTTTTTCCTGCTGAATCCAACTATCGCATCGAAAGGATTCCCAGGGCAATGGTAGGATCCCCAAGCCCACTTGAAAAAATGGTCTTCATTTGAGGGGGGGGGACATTCTTTTGGGGGGGACCAGTTTTGTCCCCAAATAAAGGGACTTCTCCAAATGTGCACCTTGACACCTTGACTGTCTGTGCCTCAAATCAACGGACAACTCGACGGGTGATGCCTACTTTTACAATCATTTTGCCCACTCCTGTTTTCCCTATTAAAAAAGACAAAGGAAAGAAAAATAACTCCCTGATTTAGAGACAGATTTACGATCTCCCACACCAATGCCTGGACGGTGTGCGCCGCCACCGTGCATGCCACATTGGCACCATGCGTTGCAGCCTCGTGCTATGGCTGACGCGATGGGGGATGGCTGATGTGATGGGGTGGCTGACAGGATGGGGTGGCTGACACGCTGCCCGCCAGTCCATGTGTGTGTCAAAGGGTCCCTGCGCACATGGCGCATATCATGCCAGGCACGGTCAAGTTGTCTTAACGGACGACTTGCTTAATGGTTAAGTTGTTCCACTGATTGAGTTGTCTCAATGGTCAAGTTGTCTCGGGTCGAGTTGGTAAATGGTCCGAGTTGTCCGACATCTGCTTGGCTTACTTTTAGACAAGTCTGTGTTTGTGCATTTAGCTGATTTGCACGATTGGCTGACTTCTGACTTCACTTCCCCTTTTGAAAACAATCGTCCCTCCACGTGTTCCACAACTGTGAATTATGTCAAGAAAAGGCAGGCGGTTGATGCTACTGCTAGAGGCGTTGACAGATAATGTTGCAAGACTGACCACTGGCTGCACGGATGGTCAGTAAGACCATCCGACAGTTCAAAGACTAAATTCACATTCTATCAGTCCTCAACGATATTCCTCCTTCTTTAAATAACAGAATTCATCGATGTCGGGAAGAAGCAGCCGGCTTTGGATGCCCTGTACGACGTGATCAAGAGTAAGAAGCACCGGACATGGCAGAAGATCCACGAGCCCATCATGGAGAAGTACTTGACGCTGTGCGTGGAGCTGAGAAAGAGCCACACGGCTAAGGAGGGACTCTACCAGTACAAGAACATCTGCCAGCAGGTGGGTCTTAGGGCGGCGGCGGCGGTCGTCACAAAGCACTGGCAGACCTCAGAAAGGCTCTTGACATGCCCGGCTTTCCTCGGCACTGATCAAAAGTGCTTCCATACGTTGAATGAAAAGTGATCGTGAAGTTATTCAAATGTAGCCAAGTATTACGAAAGTAGGTAATGCATGAACTTCAGGCAGATATGGAGATGTTGTCCAAAGCATGATTTGTGCCTGGATTCTACATACTGAGCACTGCACGGTCTTGGTGTCATTTTCCTGGGGTGCTAGTCACTTTCCCCTTGCAGCCAAGTTTCTCCATTTTAGTTTTATGGCCACTGGTTTAGACAAATTTTGCAAAGTGTTGTGTCCATGATCATGAACGCTTAAACTAATAAGTATGTCTTGTCATTTTGCACAGTTTGGAAGATGGAAAATGATGGAAAGATAAAATATATTTTAAAATTCTCCTGTTGCCCAGGTGAACGTGAAATCTCTGGAGGATGTCGTCAGGGGCTACTTGCGCCTGGCTGAGGAGAAGACAGAAGAGGCTCGCAAGGCGTCGGAACAGACGGTGTTGGATGTCGATGACCTAGACAACGTGGTCACTCCTGAGAGGTAATAACCCCCCTGCTTTGGTCATCCTGTCCTGCTTAATTAATCAGAGATCTGGTGCACGGATCCACAGAATCATCAGCCTTACATTCTGGGCTCATGGAAGAACCGTGAAGCACATGCTAACTTTCCAACGATGGTTTTCCCCAGCACCCTATACCATAACAAACTTTAATACTCTCGACAATGTCTTACCAGTTAGGAATATCCTTATTGTTTGTGACTGACTGGGAGGAGGTAGTAAAATTGAGGCGTAAAACATGCATTTGAAGATTTTTCCCCTCGGCCCTGAAGCCGACCTAGATTCCCCTCAGGAAGCTACCACTTCGTGCCCGTTGAGGAATTATTGATCTCGTGCCAATCGCAACCCCTGCAGTGTCAGTGTATGCCAACTTTGCCAGTGCCAGATCTCTTAAAACTCAAACCAGTCCAGGCTTTTCAGGTCTGGAGGGTTACCATATTTGAAAAACCTAGCGGTGTTGTTTGGCCTCGTTCACAGCCTCTTGCTGAGCGCGGTGAGCGGGGAGGACACTCAGGCCCGCACCGATCGCATCATGCTGATCCCCTGGGTCAAGTTCCTGTGGGAGTCCTACCGCCAGTGCCTGGACCTGCTGCGCAACAACAACCGCGTGGAGAAGCTGTACCAGGACATAGCTCAGGATGGTACGTAAAGCCTGGCCATCTCTCTGACCGGGCTGATACAGCTCAGTGAGCCAGTGTTTATCTCCGGTTTTCTTAGCGCGAAACAACTGTGATTATTTCTATTCCCCCCTGGATGGGATGCGAGTTTCGTGCGGGTTACTTCCCAGCCTAATACCCATACATATGTGTGCTCCTGACAGTGCAGAGGCAAGTTGAGGTAAAGTGGCTTGCCTAAGGACACAGCGTGTTGTCAGCAGCTAGTTTTGATCTGGGAAGGATCACCTAGTGCAAACCTCACCCACTAGGCCACACTTGATGTGATCCCACTTGAAAGTTATAAGACACTACTCGGGAGGGTTGATGGACAATAAATTGGGAAGCCAATCACCCATTTTGATTATACTGCTGGCACAGATTAGGGAATGTTTAATACCAGTAAACCTCATGGGGAATATTGAAATGAATTTGCCCCGTTAGAATTTTCTTCTTTTTCTAACAGCTTTCCGATTCTGCCAGAAGTACCAGAGGAAGACAGAGTTCCGCAAGCTGTGTGATAACGTGAGTAATCTTTGGTTTTTAGAAATGGATGCCACCTCCATCAGCCTTCACTCAGGTTATTCTGATGAGGTTTTGTCTTGAAATGGAGAGTTTTTAACCCTAACCGGCAAGCATATTGTTTGGCTTACAGTACTCAGTACTACAAAATACTAAGTAATAGTCTGAGCCTGAAGGACCTAGTGCTACAGATTACTACTTCTGGCTAGGTTACTTCCATTGTTACTCATACAGAGAACAATAAAGCCATGCATTCATAGTGGCAGAGCACTGTATGGTACATTGTCTTTTCTATTGTATTTTATGGCTTCAGAGAACAATACGGTCATGACCTCTTACAAGCGGCAGCACTGATTACTCCATTTTACTACAAGTAGTAATTTGCAGTAATATGTAGGGTTAGGGTTAAAGAAGGAATCTCTTCTGTGTTTTTTGGACCACTTCAGCTGCGTAACCACCTGGGGCTGATCCAGAAACACCAGAGCCAGGCCACCGCCATCGACTTGAACAAGCCGGAGAGCCAGCAGCTGCACCTGGACACCAGACTCTTCCAGCTGGACACCGCCATCACCATGGAGCTGTGGCAGGTACTAACCCTTACCCGATCCCTTGATCACTGCAAAAGCCTGATATGTGGGGAGCTGGTGTGGTAATAAGAATTGTTTGTGTGCGCTCCTGATGTTTTCTCTTGGTCCTATCTCAACAGGTTGCTTAGCAGGAATTGTGTGCTTAGAATATTTGTACAGAGAACCAGTCATCAATAATAAGAATCCCACTCAGTCTTGGAGGGGGACTGTTTTTTAGTAAGTAGATGTTGCAAGCCCATAGCAGATTTCTGCTGGTAGTAATTCCATTAAACCCTGCAGTCACTGTACCACCCAGCCTGGTTCTCGCTGAACTGCCCATAAGTGCCCAAGCACTCTGCAGCTTTCTGTATCCGCCAATGAACCGTACAATGTATTGCACTGCAGTGTTGTTGCTAGTGAGCTAAATGGGCCATTCAGGACCAGAAAACTAATGTTTCTCCAAGGACACTGCTATTTCTACCTTCCCCTCTGCTTCCCACCCACCCCGACAGGAGGCCTACAAGGCCGTGGAGGACATCCACAGCCTGATGGGCCTGTCCAAGAAGCCGCCCCGGCCCCAGATGATGGCCAACTACTACCAGAAGCTGGGCTTGGTCTTCTGGAAGTCGGGCAACGGGCTGTTCCACGCCTGTGCCCTGCACCGCCTGTTGCAGCTGTCCCGGGAGCAGCGCAAGAACCTCACCCAGGAGGAGATCCAGAGGTGGGTCGGGTGAATTGGCTACGGCTTGGGACAACGCGTGTACTGCTAGCTAGGAGCCGTAGCCGCTTTCTGTAGACGTGTGTGATACTGTTGGCCACAGCCAGGAATTTCGGACACATTCTGTAACCCTTAGAATCTTTCAGGTGTTGTCAGTACAGTTGTATCCACAGTTAGCACTCAGGTAGCTAACCTCTTTAAGACGTGTAAATTTGCCAGGGAGTTTCTTTGCCCGTCTGCAATACTCTTTAAGTCTCTGGGCAAGAAGTGTGCCCCTTTACTAAGCTCAACATCACCCTACATGTGCACAGTTTGGCCCTTTGAGACCCTTCAGTGAAATTGATGGTTATCTAGTGTGGCCTTCCAAATCCTTCGGCCTGAAGGATTTGATGGCTGAAAGTGTTGCTGATGAGAATTGAGCTCACTCTAAGAGACTTAATGATCTGTAGGGAACAGTTGAATTTTTAAATCAATTTGTTCTACGCTTAACAGAAAGCAAGCTGGTCAGTTTCACACTAGCATGATTCTAATACAATTTCGCCAACATTGACAGAAGTCTTGTTTCTTGTTTAATAAACCGTACGACATTCCATGACCTACTCTTGACCAAATGACCGGCGCCTTGATACTTTTTTTGGGTCCCCGTCCGCAGGATGGCCACCCGCGTGCTGCTGGCCACCCTGGCTGTGCCCATCTCGCCCCCTCGCAACGACATCGGTGACATGCTGGACATGGGCGACACTGCCATGGAGAACAAGCGCAAGCTGGCCAACCTCTTGGGACTCCAGACCCCGCCCACCCGATCGCAGCTGGTCAAGGACCTGGTACGATCTCCAGATGGACCACCTGTCCACGACTGTCTTTTCTTGAATGAAGGCATTGCTGTCATTTGTGTTGGATGCTGTGTTCACGCACGTAGATGAGTCTAACTTTTGTAGGCTTGAAAATTGTATCACTGAAGTATTCAATCACCTATTAATCGAAAGCAGGCTGCGTTCAGATAAACCGTCACTGCGGCGGTGTCTTTATCGTGTGCAGGTCGTACATGTTACAGTTGAATGCCTCGTTGACCAGCACGGTGGTTTCAACTTGTAAGTGTGGATGCTCATCTCAAAGGGGGGATGGGACATTGGCACAGCAGTACTGGTTTCCCCTTGGATTTGTTAAGAGAGTCAGTTTGGACCCAAATGCTGCCCACCCTGCTTGGATATGACACAACAAAAAAACTTGCCAAAGCCCAGAGCCACTGTCAGAATTGGAATTACTTATTAAACCACAGGGCATTTCAGAATAGATCATAAGCAATTCAGCCCAACCCGACAAAGCGAGTTACAAGTCACCAGGACCACCCTTTGGGTTCTCGCTGGACTGAGCATTACATCAAAACAATGAGCGTTACATGAAACAAAGCTGTTAGCTTCCTCTTTCTGACGAAAAGTTAGTGACAAATTTTGCCACCAATGGGAAGACCTTTTGCTACTTCACGTAAAAAATAACTTTTGTCTGCCTCATGTTCTTGTTGCCTGCAAAGGTGAGGTACAACGTGGTCCCCTACGTGATGCCCCAGGTTAAGGACCTGTACGAGTGGCTGGAGGTGGAGTTTCACCCCTTGGAGCTGTGCCAGCGGGTCAGCCAGATCTACCAGCTTATCGAGGAGAGCGGAGAGCAGGAGCTGAAACAGTACATCCCTGCCCTGCAGGACAACACCATCATGCGCCTCCTCAAACAGGTGAGGGGTCACGCCCGCAGGGCACAGCAGTGCGGTGGTCGAGTCCATCAGCAAGTCCAGTTGGAAGACCTTTTGCAAGATCGGTCCCAAGTCATTTCACATGACCAGTTGCAAAACCAGTCACTAAACCTTTCACAAGACTCTTCACAAATCCAGTCCGAAGGCCTTTCAGAAGAGCGGTCACAACAGGGTGAACAGTCACAAAGGAAGGCTTTGTTTTCCCACTTCGTTTGACCAGCCTTTGACTTGACTTGCAAATTGATAGCTTTTGATGGAATTTGAAGGGACGTTTGTTCGACTTGACTACAAAACTCTCCAGTCAGTTTTCATTTCAGATTAGTTGGGAGGTACATTTGAGTTTGAATTGGGGGGGATTAAAAAAAATGATGTTTTTGAGGGTTATTTCTTTTTTTTAGAATATTGTGGTCTTTATTTTCTCAACAGGTCTCCCAGATTTACGAGACCATTGCATTTTCTCGGCTTGCTAACCTGGTGCCGTACTGTTCGGCCTTCCACCTGGAGAGAGTCATCGTAGATGCTTCGCGTAATGGTGCCGTGCAGGTAAGAGGCATCCAAAATCGGTCAACCTAGTCGGACGTCCACAAATTTGAATCGTGATGGTCGTTTGTTCAAGACTTGTGAGGCATCCTTCACTGCTTCTTGGAACTTCTGAGACAGTGTCGGCGAGCAGCATTTGCATTAGCCCTAATCCAGCTGAACACAACAAGATCCAACAGGTGTAAATATATCTGTTGGATTGAGCAGTAGATGTGAATGGCATATCCTGGTTGGATCTTGTTGAACTCAGCTGGGTTTTCAAAAATGCTGGAATGACTCTGCTGTTGTATTGAACAGTATCGGAACAGTTTCAAGTGTTGGACCTTGTTGGATTGAGCAGTACTCACACTTTTTAAGTTGTTGGATATTGTTGGACAGAGCGTGGTACTTAAAGCATGCTTGGAGCAGGGTTAGGGTTAAGACAAACTCCAGACACACACAACCTCAATGCACCAGTTCGAGCCTGTGTGTGGTCTTAAAAACGCAGTAGGAATCTCTTAAGCATGGGGATGAGCACAGTCTCACCCAGTACCGCTTCCAAACTTCACTTGAAACACAAGAAATAGGTATTTTGACCCCTTCGCTCCGGGAGACGGCAAGAGCTGCGGCTTTATGTGAGGATTAGTGCATACCACACATACNCCCTTCACAAATCCAGTCCGAAGGCCTTTCAGAAGAGCGGTCACAACAGGGTGAACAGTCACAAAGGAAGGCTTTGTTTTCCCACTTCGTTTGACCAGCCTTTGACTTGACTTGCAAATTGATAGCTTTTGATGGAATTTGAAGGGACTTTTGTTCGACTTGACTACAAAACTCTCCAATCAGTTTTCATTTCAGATTAGTTGGGAGGTACATTTGAGTTTGAATTGGGGGGGATTAAAAAAAATGATGTTTTTGAGGGTTATTTCTTTTTTTTAGAATATTGTGGTCTTTATTTTCTCAACAGGTCTCCCAGATTTACGAGACCATTGCTTTTTCTCGGCTTGCTAACCTGGTGCCGTACTGTTCGGCCTTCCACCTGGAGAGAGTCATCGTAGATGCTTCGCGTAATGGTGCCGTGCAGGTAAGAGGCATCCAAAATCGGTCAACCTAGTCGGACGTCCACAAATTTGAATCGTGATGGTCGTTTGTTCAAGACTTGTGAGGCATCCTTCACTGCTTCTTGGAACCTCTGAGACAGTGTATCAGGGGTTAAAATAAGGGCTGCCTGTAGGCAAACATAAAATGTACCGTGGACCTCATGCTGCTGTGGGGCCCTCAAACACTAGTGGTTACTTCGTTGATGTTTCATTCCCCTATCTCACCTCTGCACCAGGACCTTGGCACAGTTCTAGGCACAGGATCCAGGCTTGGCCACTGACTCCCACCACCTCTCCCTCCCTTGCCTTCTCTCTTGCCAGGTGCGAGTGGACCACGCCACGCAGGCCCTGGTCTTCGGCGGTGTGGTGTCCATCTCCCAGCAGGACGAGCAGCTGAGCGAGGGCCCCCACCTGCAGGCCCAGGCCTCGGACCAGATCCGCAACCAGCTCAGCCAGATGTCTTACACACTGCATCGGGCCGTCAAGGTCATCCGCCCCATGCACATGGTGGTATGGTTCACCGCTGCTTCTCTTCCCTTCTTGTCAGTGGACTTTTTGGACATCCTGGAGTAAACCTCAAAAAGTCCCACAGAGTTTTTAAAAGCGAAATGATTCCATTGTTCCGTCTTGACCTGAACAGTTCTGGAAAACGAGATTTGTCCCCGCCGCCCGCTATGTGACCCCTTCCCTCCCACAGAATTATCCTGGATGAAATTTTTGCCCCCAGAATCTTTTTTTTAAGAGGTCTGTGAAATTTCTTGGAACTTTGTTTGATGAGGTCAGTTTACGAGCTGTGTGTGTCATAAAATTGAACAGGTTAGTTCCCACTCAACTTTCTTTTTTTTGGTCGTGTGGCAGGAGGAACAGGAGAATGAGAAGCAGGTGATGATCCAGCACTACCGCCGCACGGCCCGCAAGGAGCACGAGCGCATCCTGACACGCCGCCACATCATTGAGGACCGCAAGGAGAAACTGGAGAGCATCACCGTGCAGCGGGTGAGTCGGACACAGACCCGGTGGAGTTGGCAAATTGTCACAGGAGGGGAGTTGGGTTGTCGGGTCGGCTTGGTGGCACTCTCCTCACCTCCTACCTTTGTGACCTGGGGTTCGAATCCCACCCAGGCTGGCATGCAGATTGGGCTGTCAGTCCCTACCTGATTCCATATGTTTTCTCTGGAATACTTGTCTGAGATTTATCCTCCTACCTCCAAAACTGAACATTCCTTCCTTGTCTTCTCCCTAAGGGTCCGAAAGGAGAACAACTACATCTTACCCAGTGTGATATTGTGTGCCAGTCAGTGAAACTAGCATAAACACACCCATGACGATATGCACAAGCAAATGCTTGAACTCTGACCTCCACAGATTGGCACGCTCCATACACGTGCTCATGTGGTCAGCTTTTCTTGTAATTTGGCATAGCCTTCTCAATGCATCTCTGGATGTGCTAAAAAGACGAATGTGAAAATCATCGCGGGATGTAATGTCAGGTTTATTTTCAGATTACAGTGAGCAGTCTGGACGTGTTGTCACTCTCAACTGTCCTTCCGACTCGTCAAGCAAACACGTACAACCTTATAGGTATCTAAGATGACATTTTTTGAACACCCTCCAAATATTTGCCAATTGCAGGAGAAAGAGGAGCTGGACATCATCGAGAAGCAGCAGCGCAACCAACGGGAGGCAGAGGAGAAGCGGCTGGAGCGGGAGGCACTAGAGCGCCAGCGCAAGAAGGAGCTGGAGAAGGTGGAGGAGATCCAGCGCTCCCAGGCCCGGGAGCGCATCAAGATGCTCAAGCAGTCCACTGTCAGTCAGAAGGTCTTCAAGAGGCTCAATGAGGAGGTGGGCTTCCGTTGTTTTTTGGGGGGGGGAGGAGGGTGGAAATAGGTCTTCTCAATTTTGTTTTGTGTCGAAAAGTTGGAAATTCGCAAAGGGAAGGAGATATAGGCCAGTTTTTCGAATGCAAGCACTTGCCGTAAATACTAAGTCTTGGGTGTCATTTTGCACAAAATCTCTGTTTTCTTTATCTTAGCCTTATATCATTCAACACTCTGAGACTCAGCTCATAACAATATTTACTACCTGAGATTCATGTACATCACGTACAATTTAAACACACTTAGACTTTTTTGTGCAAAGAAGCCAATGGGTAATGAAAAGCATATACAGATCCTCTGCCATAGGATTAGAGAGGGTCGACATTTAACTAGTCAGCCACTCCCACTAATGTAGGTTGCCAGTTTGGGTTTATGCGGGCTCCGGCAAAAAGAGTCACAAAATTTGCATGCTCAGCTCATCTGTGTATACGCATCAACCGATGATGATATCTCCAGGAACTGGAGAAGCTGGACCCTGATGAGATCATGGCCAAGCATGTGGAGCAGCTTGAGGTGGAGAAGAAGGAGCTGCAGATGCGGCTGAAGGCCCAGGAGAAGAAGGTGGACTACTTCGCCCGGGCCAAGCGCCTGGAGGAGCTGCCCTTGCTGGTTCAGCAGTACGAGGAGCAGGCCGTTGTTGAAGCCAAGTTATGGGAAGAGATGGAGGAACAACGGGTAAGGTGATGCAGTCGAGTACTTCACAAGTACCTCAGCGATTAAGTCGAGTACTCCAGTGTTGTAGTCAAGTACTTGGGAAGTATGCCAATGTTGTCAAATACTTTGCAGGTACTTCAGTGTTGTTGTCAAGTACTTGGCAAGCACTTCACTGTTGCAACTGAGTACCTCAAACGAACATTAGTGTTGCAGTTAAGAACTTGGCAAGCACTTTATTGTTGTCGTTGAATACTTGGCTTGAAGTTCACTTTTGTAGTCAAATACTTTTACTTGGTCAACTTCTGTTATAGTCTGACATCTCACAAGTACCGTAGTGTTAGCTTAGCACTATACAGGTACTTTGAGTTGTGTCATGTACTCATAAGTACCTCTCCGTAGTAGATCAGTACTTCACCAGAACTCCAGTACTGTAGCCTGCTATCTCACAGGCACCTGAATCTTTGTTGAGTATCTCACAAGTAAGCAGTCAAGTACTTCCTAAGCAATTGAAAGCGGTGCAGTTATGTAGATAAGTATTTTTCATCATTAACCACATTTACCATCAGTACTAACAAGGGGTGAACATTTATCATGGAACGTCTCGGTTACACATCATTTATGACATGCTTGTGGCTCACAGTGCAACCGAGATGCTTGTACTTTGTGGAGAATCCTTGAGGAGTAATACTTGTGGTAGCACCATGCCTGTATAATTTTTAGCCATGTTTCAAGGATGAAAGGAACTTTGTCAAACTAGACAACTGAACCAGATGCGTCCAGTTCTGTTTCAGGATTCTGCCTTGCGATGTATGTATTCTACTGACATCCTGTGGTGTCCCTTCCCCCCCAAAAACAAAGCACATTGCGCGCAGAGCTCTTGTTGCCAGGGATACTTTTTCTCTTTGCCTGTTGAGGTTTTCTCATTTTTGTGAAATAAATGGTTCAAGAAACTGGAGATGGAAATTGTTGACTCACCTTGCAGATTGCCGAAGCCATCAGTGAGCGGCAGAAGGCACTGGAGTGCAGAGACCGCCTGGCCCGCATGGCCGAGGACAAGAAGAAGTTCTCTGAGATGCTGGAGCAGACGCGCTACAGCATCTACAAGGTATGCATACGAGCAAGGGGAAAAATGGAAGAAAAACACTCCCGATTGGTTTCATGCTACTGAAACTGGCGATGGATGCTGGTCCTTGGAGACGCGTCGGATCAGTTGAACCTTTGATACCCAATGCCCCGTCAGGTTTGTTAAAGCACTCTGCTGAATCCAACAGCAATACCACAGCAGAGGAGTGCTAAGCCCGCCGAATCTGACAGAATCCAACAGCCAGAGCACAAGGCCTTTTGCCTGTGCCCGCATCGACAAAACCCCGCTCTGTGTTGGATTCCGTCGGGCTCAGCGCGGCTAGGGTGGAGGTGAATCTCGAATGGTAACGGCAAGTTTGGTGGTCCCCCTTCCCCCAGACCAAGCTGGCCGACTACGAGCAGCTGGAGCGGGAGGAGCGGGTCAAGCGTCTCCAGGAGCGCAAGAATCGCCGCAAGGAGGAGCGCCGCCTCAAGTGGCTGAAGGAGAAGGAGGAAGAGGAGCAGCGGAAGAAAGACGAGGAGCTGAAACGGCGTAAGTGGCGTGCCAACCTCGGCGCTGTGTCAGATCCTCGGATGGAGTACCCAATACGGGAACGGTTATTTTTGAAATACTCTATTCAGAGGTGACACTTAAAAAGGGAAAAGTCATTTATGGAGTTGCAACATTTCATTCTAATAGAGGGATCCCAATACGACGCTTTTAGCGTCGATCTGCGCACTTCCGCGTTTGGAAACGAGGCTGTATGTGTCAGCTTCAATTCTTTATACGATCAGACGATTGAAAGTAAGGAGTCAAGACACAAAATACATAAAGGTATGTTAACTTCAGACTTTTCAGGCAGAAAATTTTTGTGGAAGAGTCTTTCAGGATGATTCGACACGTAAAATCCAAAGAAAAATAACGACAATTGACCGCGAACTAACGTACTCGCGATGGTCCTGTATATTGTGCAGTGGGTGTGGTTTAAACTGAAGTGGCGTCACACTTACGAACCGGATACTCCATGTACTGTGTGGACTCCGCGGGCGCGCACGATGAAGTTCAACACAGAGAGCCTCGGTTTCGATGCAGATATGCGCAGACGGCGCTAATGTGAAATCCATCTATATTGTACATGTATTTTCAAGTTGTTACAGGCACTTGATGCATATGCCACATGATAAGGCCAAAAATGACTTTTCCTTCAAGAGTTTCTATCTTTTTACTTTTTTATGCTGTGTGGCAAGCTGGCTTTAGTGGGTAATTCACGTAGCATTAAATTCCACTAAGCTAAAAGAATGCTAAATAACGTACGGCTATCACAAACTAAATAAAAGTACCTCTCCCAGTCTTAACCACTTCGTGCCGGGGCATTTTTCAACGTTGATGATGCTGGGCCGGCATGACTATCATTTTTTCCGTTTTCAAAATCCTTCAACAATTCATCATTCCACTTAACAGTC